TTGCGCTATTCTACATATCTCTGGAGACCTTTCACTTACCCACAATACCCTAAGGTTTGGTTCCAATTTCTGATTAATATACCGGTTTAAATATTCGGCAAAATCTTTACAATGTTTCAATTCGTGAAAGAGAAACAAATCCGTCAATCTCATTCCATCAATGGAATGGATTATGTGGAAGACAGAAAAGACCATCTTTCCTTATCCACCTTCTGACGTATCGATTTTGTCCTTTTCTACCTGCAGCAGATTTTCTCTGCACTGTTCTAAAGAACTAACCCTCTCTGGTTTTCTTCTCAGGTGAACCAATTTATCATTTCAACTATATGGGCCCTCAAGAAATGCCTAGAAGCTAGTTAAAGTTAGTTGTGAGCTTGCTCCTGTAGATTGTATTTTCAAAAAACCTATGTGGGGGTTGCACGTGTGATTGGCCGCATGGCTGTGGCAACCAATCACTAGCGTAAGTTGCACAATTCAAACTACGAATTACATAGAAAACGATTGTATTCGATGATATGAAAGCATTGATTGAAGGCAATCGTTATAAATCGTTATAATGAGATAGTATAGGACCAGAAAACATTAACACGAATCCGGATTCAGGGCGGTGCATGAGGACAGCTAAAGTATTTCCCACTCATCAGAGACCGGAAATGAGCTCACGAGCAACGATTATACTCATAGGGAAGAATGTCTCGCGATCACGCGGAGGTTAGCCTTCCCGCAGAGATTTTGAATGGAGACCTACCCCATCTGGCACTGGTCGGTTGGTACTACCGGTTACTGGGTGGTTCCAAAGAAACCACAAAGCTACGGTGGGTGGTCCGCCTTTCAATCACCTGTGTGCCCTGGGAGGGTCGCAGATTGCTACGATTCTTCCAGTCTCTGAAAAAAGCGATTCCGCTGGAACGTGAGCCCAATAATGCTTATAGAGAAATCCCGTGAAGAGTACAAGAAAACAAGTAAGTAATACAGTAATAATGTCGAGGTTCATAGAAAGTCGTATATGGAAGATGTACTGAAAGGCTTTGAAGAATTTTCGATCAAATGGGTGGAAAGTTTGTTTCGCAAGTCTAAATTATACTTTGCTCATTTTTGCAGCATCAAAGTAATTGATAGGTACGGTAAAATAATGACTACACTCAATAGAAGGAATTTGCTCCACGTGTAATCATAAAAAGTCCCATTAACGTCCATGATCCTTGAACCTTCTATCCATTGAGTCCCTGCGAGTACACACTTATCCCAGTCACCCCCCGTTTGGGTCCCCATGAACAGTACGATCATAGAGTTGCTGGTAGTACTGTCAAGAAATCATTTTTAAATTTTTTTTCCAAAAAAGCCGAAGGAATACTAGGTTCTGTCAACTGGTGAGATCGTATCTATAGAAGGCGACTCTACTCATTGTTTGATAAACTGACATACCACCATTCTGATCTGCAAATTTCACTTCAAATTAGTTTTCTGACGCCTCATCTTCGCCTAAGTATAAAAGCGCTTAAAGAGGCTACCTCAGTATCCCCTCAAAAGCCAAAGTAGCCCATAAAATCAAAACATCCTCGAAACAGTCTCCAAAGAATGAAAAGCTATCTCAAGGATACCCTCTGGAGCAATAGTTTGCTTTATTCGTCAATATAATCCACACTTTCTCTCGTTCAGAAGAATTAAGATGATCAATTCATCCTCGGAATCATCGTTACTATCGAGACATGGACGATCAATAAATATTTATAGCAAATGGCGTGTTCAAGTAGGACGACAATCAAAAACGTGGCGATTTTCCCCCCAGTGGGCGGAAAAATCTGTACTGTCTAGGACAACACTACTGTTTCCAGCATTGTAACAGTAAGGCTGATCACGGCACGAGCGAGGAAGTTACAGTCATTTCTCTATGATAGTTGAGAATGATTAGAAATGATTAATCATTTATGAGCTCTCAATTATGGCTACACCGGCAGTGTCCAGATTTGGATTCGTATGCACAGTATCCTTGAACTCATCGGGTGACGGAGAGTCGAGAAGGTCGGCTACAATCCGTTTTTGCTTCAAGAAATCGAACACAGCACGTTCATGTAGAATAAACTGCATCCCCAGGGCGTCACCTGTAATCAAGTTGACTTAAACTAGTAATTGTGTACCACCGACCACCTACGAGGCTGTGGACAGTGGGTGGTGCTGGTGGGCAGGGAGCCTCCCCATGGGTTGGAGTTTACGCCCCTTGGGTCCACAATCTAAACCCAACAAGACCGTATCTTCTGGTCACAAAAAGTTTACTTGATTGAGGACCCTCGCTTCTGTAAAATGTACCAAAGTAGACCTTCGGTAAATGTTGAATGCGAGGCTCGTTTCAAATGTACTGGATGATAACGAACGTTTTGAGTCCAATTTTCTAGTGCTCATAAAATCTCTTAAAATAGATGTAGGGGTGAAATGTGCAAAAGTATGAATACAAGATGAGATGCCGCTGTGCACTATGAAGTGAATGTTTTAAAGCCGCTAAAACTGCCTTTATTTGCAATCCTTTCTCTCAACACAGTTGGCCTACAGTAGCCATGAAGATTCATTGTTTAGAATACGCAAAATAACATAAAAAGTATACGTTTGTCAAATCTCACCGATTCGCAAAGCACGGAAGACAGGAGCACTGACAAAAAAGACGTGCACCCTTCCACAAAGCTCTGGCGCGCTGGTAGAAAGGGTTCTGTCAAACCGTGCCAAACCTGAAACAACAAACAGTAATACTCAATGCAGAGGGAATAAACCGCCTTCTATCAGAAGTGGAAGATAATGAACGGGCGTCATTCCTCACGGTATGGACGCGACAACTAGCCAGGAGTCGTTAAGAGCGACAACTAGCTAGGGGTTGCCGCGCCCTGCGATTGAATCAACGTAATGCCAGTCCCACATCCCCTATGGTTGAAAATGTATAAGTATGTCATAATTTCCATTACCTTTGTCGACGAATCGTTGTTTCAATAGGTCGCATACGGGAATTTCATCGCTTCGACTTCGTGCAGCCAATTTACGATCGCTCTTCGATGACAGGAACACAACAGAAGCATTTCGTCGATGAGCGATTTTTGAGAAGGAAAGGTCCTCATCGGTTGGGGTTTCGTCGATGAGAACGAATATTGCCGTGAAGCTGGCTATATTATGGCGGCTGAAAGTAAGGACACTTGAGTGGACTATTTTTTAGGCAGCCTCGCTGAAAAAAAAGCATTTTATGNTTTATGGGTATTATTATGCACCGCAGTCATTAAAACACTGAGTGTTGATTGGCTGTCTAAATGATGGCAGTTCAAAAGATAAATCATTGTCGAACGGAAATATGAACCTTTAGAAACCAAAAAAATCGGAAAAAAAGGGATGTGTTGGGAACAGCTTTCTTAATGATTTACATGTCTTCCGGTTTTCATGGGTGCAAAACTGGAAATCGTTTAGTGTCTGATGCCTATAAATATATTCCCAGTGGAATTAGTCTCTACACAAACCTGTGTTTGAAGGATAAAAATAAAAAATAAAGCCCTCAGCGATAATCAATTTATTAATGAATCAATTCAATTTTCGCTATCAAGAGGAAATGCGATCCCTTGACCATGCGGGCGTGTTGGTGCCTCTTCTATCACCACATCACCTTTGCTCTGTATTTGTATTTAGCTATGAAAAAACGCTTTTCTCACTTCCATAACTGAGACAAATAAGTCAAGATTACTTCTCATTATGCTGTAAAAGTAGATTTATCGATGATGCGATTGGGTCTGTTTTTTCTCAAATGCATGCATATATACATGTAATCATTAGAAAATATAATATTTAAAGCACAACTTACTCTATAAATTCGAAATAAGCACTTATTTTCTTCGGATAGTGAAGTTCCCACAGTGTCACGCTGTACTTGAGTAAGTCATCGTCAAATTCAAACCGTTCGCATGCTCCACGTTTGATACGTGTCTGGAAGTAATCTGGCTAACTTGGGCAACTCACTAAAATAGAACAAAACAGTTGGGCCCACTCTATCTCACTGAGCTAGCCCGTGTAAGAGTTCTTTACTGTGTACTACAGATAAAAAGTTATCTCGAGCCGGGGTCCACTGAATTCCCAGGAAAAAAAGGAATTTACATTGAAGTTCACCAGTCAACATTGGGGGCAATGTTTGTCCTATCGGCCCTCAAAGTTGCATTCCAGTTGCTATCATAGTGGTGTTCTCATATCCTAACTACTCCTTCAATAAAATTTACTGAAACGGCCACTCGTAGGTTTAAGCTAATGCTTGTGCAACCATTCGTTAAGCTCCTTTCTAGCCCAGTGTTTTAGATACAAATTGATCAGGCAGAACTTTCGTCACCTTCCCAGCGGCAAGTGGATGCTTCGATGACATCCCTCTCATGGCGTTTATCATTGACGACTTTCCGACGCCATTACCACCAATGAATCCGTAGTTGAAGGTAGTCTGGAAACCCATTGATAAAGCTGAACAAAATAGAGTTCCGGTCCTGCGAAGCCACAGTAACTTCACCATTGGTTTTTTTCAGATGACCTCTCTCTTAATAGCGACAGAAGCGGATTTGTAAAATTCTATCTTGACCAATACTTGTTAAAGAAGTTTATAGTAAAGCTCCACGCACTCGGCCAGCTCGTCGAACTGTTGACTTCGGCTCAAGGTTACCAAATACTCGATCATCAGTACCAAACATTATTTCGAACCCAGCATCCGCGAGTACGGTGGATTTTTGGATGTGACGTGGTGGGAATGTCGACGAAGTGTCTCGAGTGCGTTCTGCTGCCTAAACGTTACCGTACACATTTTGCTTTTCAACTATTACATGAAATCAATAATGAGTCACTGTATTCTGAATTAACCTTCTGTAACAGCCTGATATATGAATGCTGAACGGAGAATGGGCCCTCTGCGCTACTTACAGAAAAGCATTTTAGCGCTTTCTGAAGCTAAACTCAGGAGCTAAACTTGTCAAACTTCTCACTTTGGGCGATAGTTGAGACACTCAATTGGTCTATTTATTCTTTTTATAAAATCAATTTAAATATGGTTTTAGTAGTAAAGTAGTATGCGAAGGAAAAGTTATAAAAGCCAATCAGTACGCACCATAACCGCAACATCCTCAATGCTACGGTCCAGTGCAGCTGGTCGTCTGGCGTTGTCCATGTCTCGCTGTCAAGAAGTAAATTTAAATTCTTAGAGAACTTTAGAACTTAAATTTTAACAATTGAAATAATTAATTAATTATCATTAATAAAATTTTTTAATATTAATTAATTAATTAATAATTAAAAATTATCAATAAAAAATTTGTTTCTAAATTATTTTTCAAGAAAATAATTTAGAAATAAATAACAGCACTTAATAAATTCAAATCCTTGTTGTTATTTAGTGAAGGTTGTCATTGGTATTTATTTGCTTGATTATTCTTTCCACTTGTCAAGTTCATCAATGAGCAGTAGAAGAATCTCTCTCGAGGAAGAGCTACCAAGCAGTGCTTGTGATGAGCCTTCTCTTTTGGGTATTCTCCCTTACTGCTTGCTGCTGGAGACAGTATGTGCTGGGAGCTATACCGCGCTGCCAGCTGAAAAATCGATAAATTTGATCAAAATCGAATGATCTGCACTGATCAGCATCCCACCTAAGTCGACCGGTAGATCAGTATCTGAACCCCTGCCCGCCACTTCTATCCCATGGGTTCGGACTTTTAGGAAGAGGGATAGTTAATAAATTGATACCGCTCATTCGCCCAGCATATTGATCTGATGCATATTGATCGCAATCGACTAATCATCACTGATAACCGTCACTGCTCCCACTTCAAAATATGGGTGTTCACAAAAGTCAAGGAAAAGGGTTTGGCCTTTGAGGAACACTCTTGCTGTTGTCCCGGCTTGTTCTCTGGAACTAGTATGCTTTCAAGAGGACGCTGAATGGGCACTAGTAGGGATCTTGTGTGCAGAGTAGGGAAAAGCAGCTGAAGTGACGGAAGTAAGGTACAGCAAATCTGGTCCTGTGATGGTCTTTAAGTCATTACAGCTAACTACTACAAACAGATAATAACTGATTTGACATTTTTCGAGTAGTTTTTGGGACAAAGCAATACTGTAGAAACTTCTTACAGTTTTTCTGAGCTTGTTCTCCAATGTGTAATGACAGCCTGGTCCAAGTTCGAGCAACTCCAGTAACTTATCTTCATCCAGTTTGTAATGAAGATAACTGAAGTGATAAAGTATATGTAGTGTTCAACTCAACCTACATCTAGCATAAGTACCCAAACGAACCCGATGGTTCCGCTGAGCAAATTCTTCACAACGGGACTACTGATAAGCAGTAGCTCAACAGATGTCAGAATCTGCGCTTTCATCATCAAAGACTTTGTAAAGACACTTCTAGCTGAATTCAAAGACGATAAGGTGGAGAAATATAATCAGCACTCAATGTAACTGGTTTAAATTCGAAGGTAACCTCTGGCGTCGTATTCTCTCTTGAGGGAAGAGTCGATTGAACGCCCAAACTCCCTAGCCTCGGCGTCCAGGTCATCGTCCGACTTTGTCGAAAGCATCGTCAGTGGTGTACGCCTGAAGATCTCGACTAAATCATTTCATACCGGTAAAATATTAGTAAACCGTGATGGAAAGTAGGTTTTTCTGTGACATAACAAGCAAGTCAAGCAGTTAGTGGAAATTAATCCTATTTTGGTATGCGCTGCAC